ATCCCTTTCTCCCAGCCAGAAAATAGAAGCTTGGGAGCAGAGATTGACCCAAGAGAGAGAGACACGTCAGAGCTGCAGGACAGCACAAGCTGGGGACAGTGGTGAGAGGATGAGAGGAATGAGACAGGAACAAGATGTTCCCATGGGGAAAAATAATCACAGCTCCACAAACGATACCAAAAAATGTCTAAACCACAGAATTCTCTCAGGCACCAGAGAATCAACCTACCACTAAAGGCTGATGAAATGTCCCTGTTCTGGGGTAGACTTTTGTCCTCTATTTTAGGGCAGCTGCTCAGGAAGCTGCATAAGAAGCTGATCACATCTGGCACTGCCCACCCTGCTGTGTCTGTGCCTGCTCTCACTGCACTTGTTCCCCTCACGTTTCCCTGCTTGCTTTCCATTCACTGTCAGTACCTGGGAGTAAATAGCCTTCTTGTAACAAATTCGGGACCCACCCATACCTATTAAAGCCAGAAAGAATGCAGCTCCATAGAAATAACCCCCCAAACTCCTATTCTTAGCTTTTTGTAGCTACATTAATTTTAGAAGAAAAATTAGGTCCGAAGTGATGGGCTCATTTTAACGAAGATTCACAGTCACGATTTAATCCCTTGGCGAGGAAGACTCAGCTTTTGAGCACATCAGACTCATTAGAAACTCCTCACAAAGTCATCAGAAAACGGGCTGAAAGGGAATGGTTCTGTGCAGGGACTAGAGTGAGCAGGACTTTCTGAACCTGCACTTCCCTTTCCCGCCTGCAGCCGCGGCAGCTCCGGCAGAGAGATGAAAGCACCCGGCAGAGGAGATAAACAAGAAAACAGCTCTGAAACAGTCACGCTGCCAAAACAACCCGGGGAGGATGGGACGGGAGATAAAAGAGAAAGTACTGGAGATTTTGGAGTGACTTCCAGGTGGGGCTGGAATTAGGGAGCGGAGCTGGCACCAGAGTGATCTCCCCTGGGCAGGGTTGGATGTGCAGCAGAGGCATTTCCTCTGCAAACATCTCGTCCTTTCCTTCCTTTCCACAGCTTCAAATCCCAGGAAAGTCCCAGAAAATCCAACATTGCTCCTCGGGGACTGTTTTCTTCTTTTCACATTTGCTTTAGCTCTTTCTATCCCGTATTTTGGCTGCAGGCCATGGGATTATATGGAATATCCAGGGAGACTCTGTCCTTCTTTAGCTTGTTGGTGTTGATAAATTGAGCAGGAGGAGGCAGATGCATCAGCGTGTTTCATCATCACCTTGGGGCGAGAAAGCCGTGGTGGGATCAGACGAGCACTTGGAGCCAGTTCTGGAGGCTGTGCAGACACACTAAAACAAGGCACATCTCAGACCCCAAATGTTCTGTGGGGCAAAACACCTAACATTTAGTGCAGTTCTCCAGGGAGATAGTTCCACCAGGCTTTTCCTGTGCCCTTGTAACATCTGGCAAAAGGGCAGAGGAGTGTCAATGGTTTTATGTCCCAAAAACTCTGGCTCTTGTCCCTGAGGATTGTCCTCAGCAGGTCTTTGCCCACCAGGGAGGGGTTGCTGGGTTTTCTCCCCTCCTCTGGGCACAGCTGCTGCAGAGACCTCAGGTCCTGTGTTGGTGTGCAGGGACTGCCCAGGGGATGGAAGGACACAGATTGCTCCATCCTGATGCTTCCACACTTCACAAAGCCTTGGAGAAGCAGGGACAGAGTTTCAGGGTAACTCAGGGCTGCAGGTGCTTTCCGTGGTGCATTTGATGAGGATGTGCTGGAAGGCCCACAGTGTTTGGAGATGGCCTCCCAACATCAGTCAAACGTGCTTTGTGACCTTTGATGTCAAGTTTTTTTTTTCCCAGGGGACAATAGATGAGCTGGGCTCATGGGGTTCAGGGTTTAGAAGGGTACATGCACTAAACCAGCTCAGCCTTCCACCTGGGTGCTCACGCGGCCACACTGGTCCTACACCTCAGCTTTGAGTTTGGGGACACCCTGGGGTGGATTTAACAGGGAGACCTGGGCACCTCCCTTACACCCAGCACTCCTTGGACCATGGAAGGGTGGAGCTTCTTGGAGAATGTAGTGATTACCTGATTTCCCAAGGTGTCCCCCAGCATCAGAGCAGCTTCAGATGGCAGAGCTAAAGCTTTCTTTGCCAACCTCTCAGCCCATGGGGTCTCCTAAGAGAGTGATAAAATGAGTTGTGGGCATTCAAACCTTGGTAACTTGAGGAAATTATTTTCAGGGTGTAGGCAAGAGATTTTTTAGGGATGGTTCTCCCTTTCCACTGCTCTCTTCCCCCTACACCACATTCCCCACTCTCCTGAAAACTACTTGCCTGCAGCTACAGGGCATCACTTCAGTTCCCATCTTCTGGTGCTCCCATTGCTGTGATTCCTCCCTGTCCTCTGTGTGTCCTTCCAGCTGGCAGCACCTTGGATGTCTTCAGGAAATGTTTGTAAAGGCTTTAGTTTAGTTTGCAATGGGACACAGGGGAAGCACCAGGACTTTGAGGAAATCCTGGCTTGCTGGCCCTGGCTCACAGCACCGAACCCTCCGTGCCTGAAGGAACCTTGCTCAAAACTGCCTTAACCAAACCTGTGGTGGCTGTGCCTGGGTCACTGGGCATGGCCAGTCCAGGGCACTGCCAGCCCATCCCTGCAGCACCCACAGCTGCCCTGCAGGGCACCCAGTTGGAAGTGGGGAGTGTCTCAGACCCCTTGGGGTGGGGGATGCCACCTTCTCCACCCTGAACCTTTGCAGGTTCCCAGGGAACTGGGACTCAGCTGGGCTCAGTGAGGTGCCAAGGGCCCCAGGCTGGTGTAGCAATCCCTGTGGAGCCTGGGAGCCTGCCCCTGAGCAGGGGTTCACAGGGCAGGGGAGACAGCACAACCCTGGTGGGGCCTGACAGCCCTGGGGGCAACGCCTGCCCAGCACCAGGTTGTGCTGCCCTGGGACAGGAACCTCCTGGAGGCACCTGGTGGGTTTTTTGGGGTGTCCTGTGCAGATCCACAGCTGGACTTTGCTGGTCCTTGTGGGTCCCTTCCAGCTTAGGGTGTTCTTTGGTTCTGGAGAGGTGAGGGAGCTCTGTCTCTGGGCTGGGTGGGACAGCCCCCCGGACTCCACCAAGCCTGGGAGGCTGCACGTGTCTCTGGGGCCCCCAACCCAAACAATTTGGGCACATTTATAGGTCCTGCTCATGCAAATCCATGAAGATTGTACCTCCCACACACACTGACAGGGGACACATCACATGTCCAGGGCATCCCTGACATTCCACACTCCTACAGGGTCTGTGGAGCCCTCAGACACCCATAGGGACCACATTCCCCACACGGATCAATCCATAAACTCTTATAGGAACAATCCCCAGGGCACACGCTGAGGGGCCATACAGACTGCAAACCTACAGCCACCTACACCCCTCTGTACCCACGAGGGGCTGCTGTCCCTGCACCTCCAGAGGGACACAGCTGAGCCAGTGGGAACATCCCTGTCCACCCCTGCAGGGACCACGTCCCCAGGGACAGGTATAGTGACCACACCCAGGGACCCCATCCCTGCAGGGACCACATCCCCAGAGATGGGTACAGGGATGACACACCACACACCTACAGGGAACACATCCCTGCCCATCCCTGCAGGGACCAGGTCTGTAGGGACAGGGACAGTGGCCATACACACCTTTAGGGACCACATCTCCGGAGGGACTACATCCCCACGGACAGGTACAGGGGCCAGACACACTTACAGGGACCGCGTCCCTGCCCATCCCCGCAGGGACCACATCCCCAGGGACAGGTACAGGGGCCGCACTCCACACGCATCTACAGCGACCACGCCACTGCCACCGCTCCGTGTCCCTTCCCACGCTCCCCGCCGGAGCCGCCCGAGGCCGGGGGTCGGTGCCGGTGCCGGTGTGCGGAGCCGCCCGCCCCGCGCGGTCCGGGGCTGGGCGCGGGTTCCCCGCGGTGCGGGCGCGGTGCCGGTGCTGCCGGTGATGTCAGGAGCGGCCCGGCAGCGGTGGGCGGTCCTTCCCCGGCTCTGCCCGGCCCCTGCTCCGCGCCCGGCCCGGCTCCGGCGCCGCTCCGCCCCCGGCCGCGCTGGGAGCGCGGGCAGCCCCGCGGCCCCGCTGCAGTCCCGCTCCGGCATGGTAAGGCCGTGGGCGGGGGGCGTGCGGGCGGGGGCGGGCCGGGCTGCCCGGGGCGCGGCGCGCTCTCACCCTCTCCCCGTCTCTCGCAGCCCCTCTCCGGAGCAGCGCCGGGACCCCGCCGCCTGCAGCCCCGCTCCGCCGGGCTCCGCGCCGGCATGAAGCGCCCGGCGCCGGGCAGCCGCCGCTGAGGAGCCGCGCGGCAGCAGCGGGACACCCCCCCCCCCCCCCCCCCCCCCCCCCCCCCCCCCCCCCCCCCCCCCCCCCCCCCCCCCCGCCCCCCCCCCCCCCCCCCCCCCCACCCCCCCCC